GGAGGATATTTTCCTCATTAATACCCGCTGCTTTCCGGCAGGGTATTCCTGAGGTTACTCTTCAGGCTTCCCAGACAGCACGGCCCAATCCATAAGATGAAGTACGGCAGGGAAATGCGTGGGAACTCACAACAAATCGTTTGTGAGCAATTTCCAAAAAATTCACAAAATATCCTGAGCAAGCAGCACGTTTGAGGCCGAGTCATTCCTAAATGGTAAAGCAGGGAAACGCGTTAGCTGAAATTATTAATTGCAAACCGCTTACTAAATCCCCTTCCCAGTCCTGGGGGAGCGCGGGGTGCTTTTGCAAAGGGCTGGGTAAATTTTGTTTTCGTATCGATTGGCCGTTTCTATCAGTACTGAGCAGGTACCATCCTTAACTGTGAGATGCTGCAGCCGCCGCTCCCGGGGAAGCTGAACCTTCCTGCCCCACCGACCCGTCCCAAAGCTCCCCGGGAGACACCTGCCGTGACGCACGGCCGGTACTTCGCTGGGTAAAACGGAGGCACAGAAAGAAAAATGCAATTGATATCACATGGCACCTTAACGTTTGGTTCATAACCTAATGTATGGAAACAAAATGTTAAGCGTGGGAGCTTTGCATAGGCATGGGACCTCTCCTGATAAGCTTTCTCATGGGAATAGTTTGAGGCTGCCGAGTTGTGTCCCGGCTCCCTCTCTCCTTCCGAGGGTCCGAGATCATTTTCCCTATCGGGACTCAGCAATCTGGAAAACCCAGAGATAAACCTGAGATTCTTTCCCATCCTTCCATTTGAAAAGGGCCTTCGAGCCCATCACGGCGTTTCCTAGAGAGGCTCTTTGACGTGGGGACTTGGTTCAGGTTGTGCGTTCAAGATAAAGAAAATACCTGTATAATCCCCTCTGGGAAGAAAGGATAATTACAGGCTGCGGGTTTGAAATACAGCTGATGGCACTGACCTCCTTCCCCGGACCGTCAATAAATACCTCTCTGCTGAAACACCAGGAAATTGAAGCAGCTGAACTCTGCAGCACCTCCTCAGTGAAAAGGGGCTGGTAAAGGGCTGGTAGGAGCAGTTGCCTCTGGCTCACACCCACATGCAGATACTTCTTTATACATATATCTCTGTCTTCTAATTTACATCAGAGACATTCAAACGAAGGTTAGATTAGCTCGCTGAAAGCTCTTCCTGAAAGACAGCAGTAACCCCTGGCCTTCCCCGAGCACCTTTCATCAGGGGCTGCACACAAACATCCACCAGCCGAGCAGAGCCCCAGGGACCCCCCCATCTGCTGCAGGGAGCAAAACCGGGAGGGCTGGGGGCCGTCACCACCGGACCTGCAGGATCACGGGAGCAAAACCTCAGGCTCTGCAGGCCGAAGGGGTTTGCGCGGTGCAGGGGTCCCCTCGCAGGGCAGCACGACTCAGCCTCCCGCAGCCTTTCAGCGATGCCCGAGCTGAGCCGTGCACGGGCCTGGAGAGGGACCGGGGGGCTGAGACGTGCCTGGGGTGTGAGAGCTCTGTGCCTGGAGAGGAGAGATTCGCTTTGTCCCAGGTAGTCTCCTGAACGGATTCACCGATACCCCTTTAAAATGCAGTCTGAGCTGTGGCACACTCCCACTTTTGCAAGAGAGTTGCAACAAAAGCTCCAATATCCAGAAATTCCATGTTGCTGAGGAGGAGGATTTACCTGTAACATGTCTAAGGAGAGAAGAAAACAGACTTGTAAGACGGGCAACGATTTGCATGTTCCCTCTGGACTTGTTTTTCCCCTCGCAGCACCCCGAGCTCCAGCTGGAAATGGAACTGAACAAATAACACCACGATAAGCAAGGCAATTTCCAAGTACCACAAATGTTCCTGCTTACAAATCATGTCGCAGGCAGGCAGCACATTCCTCATACGGAAATGAGTCAGTACTTCATCTTTTTATTTCTGTAGGTAAAGTCTCTTTTCCCTTAAACCCAGAAGCTGATGGTGTGTGGTCAGTCCCCCGCCACCCCGCAGCTCCCGGCAGCACCCGCACGCGGAGCCTGAGTCTGGGCTGTAGACGCACCTTTTGCACGGAATAATTCTGTGTAAATGTGGCCGTTCGCAGGAACCATAGTGGTATTTTCAGACACAAACATCTGCGAACGCAGATGAGGAAGGAAAGGGAGCGCAGGAGCTCGGGGCCGGAGCATCGTCACCCTGGACCACGCGGGAGAGGGACGACGAGGCGGCAGAGGCACAGGGCTGCGGGTCGGCCCGTGCTGAAACTTGTCGGGGAAAAGTAGGAAATTCTCCAAGGTTTTCTAGCTCCCCGGCTAACAAGCCTTTGAAGAATCGTTTCTTTTTCTCCTTTGTACCTGGAACTTAAAAGCTGAGGGACCCACCTCTGCAAACCAGAACAAAAGTGTCAGAAACTTTGTGCTTTATCTTGAGACACCTCGAAGGCACAAAGCTCCTTACTCCATCCCCTAGATTCACAACTGAGCGATCATCAGCTCATTGGTTCTTCTCTCTCCCCTGCTGCCCGGTATCTCCCAAAAATCCCTCACAGAAACAAGGCTGTGGCATCCCATCACACCTGCAGCATGGCTGGAGGTGCCAGGACGGGGACTGCCCTCCCACGCCCGTCTGCCTCTCCAAGGAGCATCATCAGGCCCCATGCTTAGGTGCTGGACCAACTCCTTCTGGCTACATTTCCCACCCCGGGACTTCTCACCCGGAGAAATCTTTCATCCGGGGATCACTTGGCAAGTTTTGATTTGGTATCCCAGCATCCCTCCTGGGTAGATTTATTATCTCCAGTTTGTTGCTGGAGACAGTCAAGCCTGAGCTGGGGAGGTGACCTGCCCGGTGTTATAAAACAAATCCCTGGCAGAGCAGGGAGCTCTGGAAAGCTCAGGAAAGTCAAGGGACGAAGCCTTTGGTGTTCTTGGAAACCAGGACCTGGTTTGAAATGACGCTCGCTCTCCAAATCAGGGGTTTTCATGCCACGGCAAAGGGAGCTGTGTGAGTTTCATCACCTGACAGCTACACCCAAGCTACTTCTAAAAGACAAACTAGACCCGACTCAGCCCCAAAAAGGGCAGCTCTATGGGAGATCACGAGCCTGGCGGGATCAAAGGGAAGAGGAAGCCGCGTGAACCTGCTGCGCAGGAGTTTGCGTCGCTCCGCGCTGCTCCTCGTGCAACGTGCCGCCAGTGGTACCTGCCTCCCAGCGCCAGGGGAGGCAGCGGGATGCTGAGCCTCGTGGAAACGCTTCCACTGACGTTATGCAGATGAAAGGAGGACAGGTTCCCTTCCCACCCCCAGCGAGGCACCGTACCCCTGTTACTGACACGCTGCCGTCCTCAGCGGCGACCTTCCGCATACAAGAGCATCATGAGACCAGACGATGCGGGGACAAATCTCTCGCAGCCTGGAGTTACAAAAGCCGAGGCCGTCTTGAATCGGTTTTCTGTGACCGTTGCCCAGGCGCTAGGAAGCGTTGTAAAGCCTGGATTGCTTATAAAGCATTCCCACAGACCAGAAGCGCACGCACTCAGATCATGCCCATATGCCTGAGCTTTGGTAAATCATTTAACTTGTTCTGTGCCTCAATTTTCCCCAGCTGCAGTAATGAGCCAGCTCACGCAGGCTCTGGGAGCGAGTTAATGACTCAAGTGGCTGGTCCTGTACCAGCACTGGGCTGGGGATTAGCAACGTGTGAAGCTCTTTGAGGTCTGTCAGCATCAGCTTATTTCAGGATCGGTTTTGCCTTTCAGATCAGCCCCCTCTGACGCTGGTGCTGTGCATCCCCGCCGCTCCCTGGCCCAGCCACAGCACCCCCAGGACCACTCCCCGGGGCAAAACATTTCACTGAGGCTTTAGTTTGTGAAATCCTCAGCCGAGCTCACCTCTACGTGAGGGGCTGAGCATCAGCAACACCGGTCAAGAGGTTTTGGATTTGCTGAATTAGAAGTAGTGGGTTTAATCTGAACTAAGCAACCTTCCCATGGGGAAAACCCCCCTCAGGAGCGCCTGGCAGCTAAAGAAAGGGCAAAAAAGCTTTAGGGAGACTTAGTGGAGCAACCAAGCCTCAACGACTGAGGGGTTTTGGGGAGCAGACTAAGATTTTTTTTTTTTAAAAAAAACCTTTCCTCTGTGTAGACACTCCTACGTTCTCTCCAGTAACGCCCTGCCCAGGGCTTCGGTCCCTCTCCACCACCCCCAGTTCCCTGGGTGACACCAACCTGCTGGGCAGCTCATTTTCTCAAAAGCCCCCCCACCCACTCCCCCCCGGCATTTCTGGCTTAAACAAGTCTGCCAGGGGCGCAGCACGGACGTTCACCCTCCGGCTCCCCCAGGTTCAGGGGTGTCTCTGCCACGAGGCTCCTGACCAGAGGCCACCAGCACCGCTGGGTCCGGCGGCAGCTCCTGGCTTTGGGGAAGAGCCTTTCCCCAGCGCTGCTGCACGTCCCCAGCCTCACCCATCTATCGCCCAGCTTGGGGACCGCACCTGGGGCCAGTTCGGAAATAACAATAAGAAGAGCAGATAGCAAAGAGGGACATCAGGGAAAAAAACCTCACGCTCCTCAGGAGTTTGCTGGGCAGTTGCTAAACGCCTCGTGTTCCCTTCTTCTCCTTTCTTTGGCTGAGTCAACCCAAAGACAGCCTTGGGGAGGGAGGGGCAGGCTGTGTCCTGCCCTTTGGAGCTTCCTGGGGTGGGGTGACCCAGCTGAGCCCTGTCCCACTCATCAGGCAGGGCCCGGAGGGAGGGGGCCAAGCACCCGTTGGTTTGGGCACCAGCACCTAACCCTTCCCTCGTCAGCCCGCGTCACGCGTCGGTCCGTCACCGTAGGAACGAGCATCTCTGGGGCGCGTTTCTGCTGCAAACCCCATCCTCCCTGGTCCTGAGTGGGAGCCGAGCCCGCCCAAGCTGTGGGGGTGAGCAGGGCGAGAGCCGGCTCACCGAGGGCAAGGGCCAAGGACAGGGCCAAACCCAGACGGGGTGACCAGCGCAGGGACACCGACGTGACGTTTCTATTCCCAGATGCAAAGCCCCGCGTGGGCCTCAGGTCCGTGCCTTGTGCGGCCGCTCCTCCGCTCGGGCACGGCGGCACCGAGCGCCTCCCACCCGCTGTTCGGCACCTGGCGCCCAGAAACCTCATTGTCAAAATTATTTCTCTGCCCTGTAGCTCGGAAGGACCCTCG